GCCTGGACAACTACCTGTGCAACCTGGCCAACGGAGCATGCTTTGGCAGGGGGGTTGGACTCAATGATCTCTAGAGGCCCCTTCCAGCCCCTACATTTCTGTGATTCTATGTGATTCTGTGACTTTGAATAACTGGAGCTAGGGAGAGAGAGATACTCAGCCTCTTGCCTCCCGTGCTCTACACTTCAATCTTCGGGATGTTCTCAAATTAACTTCCCCCCTTTCTTTGGCATATTCTAGTTGCCTGTCTGATACTGAACAGAGGAACTGGGAACCAATATCAGAGTCCTAAGTCGATACCAAGCTACTCATGTACAAACACAGCAGGAAGAGAAAAATGGAGAGGGTACACGTGCCTGTGGGTATGCTTACCTGTGCATGTGAAGAGGAATAAACTCCTGTAATTTTGGGCACAGAACTGAGGCATGTGAAACCCAGGAGCACAAAATCATTGCAGATCTCTCAACAGTCCCTGGTGGTGCACCATGAGCGTGCCTTGACCGCAGGCGTGCTGACCTGTCCTGGGGGAGCACAGCCCTCTCTCCATGAGCGCTTGGGTTAGATGTCCACATCAGCAGCACTGGGCCAGGAGGGAGTTTTTACACTGCAGTTGCGAAAGTCCAGAGCAGCAATGCTAGCTCAGCCCAAACTTTAAATGAAAATTAAAAAGAATTCCCCTTTGGGATGAGATGGAAATGTCAACCCAAGGAGGAATCTGTTCTGAGTAAGTCGCAAGCGACTGGAGGAGATACAAGCTGGAATCCAGTCTTGGCTGCACCACACACCATCTGTCAGCGCTGCAGAGCAAAGTAAAGGGGAAGCAGAAACTGAGCGATTATCCTATTCCTCGCCGGGGAGCCCAGAGGCCAGAGAAGTGGCTTCTCTTCCCTGGTACATTTCTTGAGACAGAAACAACACACATGCTTTCCCACGCTGGCTTCACCATGCATTCCACTTCAGCCTCCTCGCTGTCCCCAAGGCAAGCAGGATGCAGACTGCCAGGCTGGGGCCCAAGCAGAGGGTTCTGTTCCCATGATTAGAGAACGGGCCTTTGCAATTGGCCTAAGAGGAACAGGGGAGGCTGAAGGCTGCCCACCAGGCACCTCACTGGTACGAGAGCCAAGCCCCTGCCCTGCCATGCCCAAGTGTTGCAGGGACAGAGCAGTGCCACTCAGACATGAGCTCTCCCTTCTCCTTCTCCCCCCTGCCCTCACTCATTTGTGTAATCTTGCAGAAGTTTCAGACAACGTCATCTTTACCCTACTGCAGGCAGGGCTGGGAGCTGTGTCAGGGGCAATGAGGGGCCCATCCTGCGGCCAATGGGTGTGAAGCAGGCCTGTCCTCCCCTGCCCGCCACGCCAAACAGGCTGCAGGAACTCTCTCCCTTGGCATTGCATTTTGAAAGATGTGTCTGGCCAGACAGCACGCTGGCTTTGGCAGGCACTGCCTGCGGCGTGATTATTTTAAGTAAAGTGTAGTTGAGAAAATAGTGGCACAGGCCCACCGCACAAGCTGTGCTGGATTCCAGGCCTCTCTGTGAGAGTATGTGGACAGCCTGAGTTCTGAACTGAAAATCAGAGAGCGAGGCAAAGAGGAATGAAGCCTTCCGCTAATCAGTGAGCCAGGACCTTGTCTGAAAGATAAGGCTACATGAGAAGGGAGCAGCAAGCCATAACACAGCCCTAGAAAGGGCAAGGGAGTGAAGAACACAAAAAGTTGCTTAGCATTTTCCTTCTTGGCCCTGAAGACTGAGGGAGCAGTTACACACAGACTGGCGAAAGCCATTTCTTACCTCCAAGCCATGTTTTTATTATGAGGTGGTTTTCACAAGAAGCACCCTTCAGAAATGCCTCTTGCTATCTCTGAACAAACTTTAAGCAGGATGGAAGGCTTCCTTGTTGATAAACTTACTAGAGGAGAAATCACACAGAAAATCACTCTTTTTGAATTTAATTTCCTCTTTCTTTTTCCACAGAAGGAAAACTTAAATGTTCATAGGGTGAAAACAGAGATCTCTTGCCTACTTGCCTCTCCTCACAAGAAGGAAAGCTTTTGTTTGCTTCTATGAAAATAACGTTTGTTGGAAGACCTCTTGTCCTGAGCTATCTGATCACTTGTGTGAGGAGACCTACAACAGCACAGGAACGATCACAGTTATGGTGTTAGCTCTCTCTCTCTCTCTCACACATAGGCTTTTGCCTTGTGTTTCAGGCCCTCTTAGGTGTGATGGAGTGGAAATAAGTGCTAGGGTTGATTCTCCCCTTGCTTGCTGTTGTGTGAGGCAGTGAATCTGCTTAAGGTCTAACCAAATACACCACACAGCCCAGCCTGCTCACAGTGCATGGCAGACACATGTGGGCTTGTTCTGACTCTAAACTTGCACATGGTTCTGCGGATGCAAACACCAGCCCAGTTATGCAACTCCCATCTCCCTGCCTCCACACTTCCCACCCGCCCCTATTGGAAATAATATATTTCAGCTCTGTTACCTTCCACTTACTTCAGCATCCCCAAGAATGATACATCAGGCTCTGATTCACAGGTCAAGTTTTGCTTCCCCTATAGGATTATGTATTTTACAGAGGAAGCAAAACTCATATCCAGCTGATGGGTGCACTGGAGCATGTTGAGTTGAAGCCATGGAGTTCCTTCACAGTCTGACCATGATCTTCTGCAAGGAATGAATGCTTTATAAACGCTGAGAGAAGGTTATGTCAGAGCAGTGTAACTGCACGGTGGGCAGGCACGTCCTGCCCTCATGAAAGCCCATTATTTCAGAGTATTTTGCAGCTGTGTTTACAACAGACTTAAGCAACTTGTTCAAGATCTGAGAAAACTGAATTTGCTCCACTCCCACTCTGCTTATTTTCTTTCATCACATCAAAATTTGCTTTTAATGTTTTGTTTGCAATTTTCTTTTTTTTTTTTTTAGGTGGAGACTTTGCATAACTCTTTCAGACTGTGTCCTGAAATAAGGCATGGCAACGACATGGAACAAAAAAATTATGCAAACAGGCATTTTCAATGTAACAAATTAGACATTACTCCAAGAAGCCCACAGATCCACAGCCAGTCCTTGGCTACCGATAGGATCCACTGTCTGAACTGGGAATTAACTGAAATTGTGACTACAGCCCGCAGATTAGCAGAGGCTGTGGGGTCCAGCATTGCCCCTTGGCTGGCCTGCCAGGCATTGCCAGGGCTTTGTTCTACCTCATCACACCTGCCACTAACCTGCATCAGTTGTCTTCTCACCATTGTGTTCTAACACACTATTTTGCTGCAGTAGCCATTGGCATAGCTGTGAAGAATGATGGGGACAGCCTTCATGCCCTGTTTTGCTCCACTGGCTTGGAAGTATTACCTGTGACTATGGTGACCTGACAGAATGTGTTATGGAGTCTTATTTTACATTGTTCTCTTCATTTGCTAAATGTTGGCTGCAGGGAATGGAATTTTCTAGGAAGGATGTCTGAACCTGGACGGAGCCAGGTTGATTTGTAAGGGGGAAATTACACTATAGAGCTTCAACTAAACTAAATCAATAGAAAATGCATTGTTTAGACCACAGTTGGAAAGAAAAAAAAAAAAAAAAAAGACATGAGAAAGTTCTTGCCATTGTTTTGATGACAGAGTCGCAACCAGTAGTCAGAGGATATGCTCAACAACTCAAAGCAGGGAGCACAGTGTGCTCCTCCAGCCCACATTCCCATCCTCTGGTCTCTCTCTTCGCCCCTAGCCCCTCACTGCCTATCCACTGCCCCTGGTTCTCAGTTCCTATCTCCTGTGCTGCTCTATATCCTGCACCCAGCTCATCTTGGCTGGAAGAAAGTCTCAGTCTCAGTTGCACTTTCATTAAATTCTTCCAGTGCCTTTTGGATATAAAAAGCTGACATCACAGAATCGTATAATCATTAAGCTGGAAGTGACAGCTAAGACCACTAAATCCCCATCATGGTCACTAACCTCAGTGCCACATCCACCTGGTTCCTGAATACCTCCACGGACAGTGACTTCATCACCTCCATGGGCAGCCTCTGCCGCTGCTTCAGCTCTCTTTCAGATCTGTTTTTCTTCACACCCAACCTGAGATGCATACTTGTACTGGGATCTTATTGGTCTTCTATCACATTGGCACTTTGCAGAGATGACCCAGTGCCGCTCTGCCTGAGCCACCTTCTGTTGAACAGCTGTGCCCATGGGGAGCAGGTGTGTTTTAATTTCCACCCTGAAAAGCCACTGCCCTTGAAGTGCATGGCGTTTGCTCCATGCTGCCAAAACCAAGGAGTCCTCCTTCCCTACACCAAAAGCATTTCATGAAGCCACGCCTTTGACAATACGATGCAAAATAAAAACAAGGCTCGTTATTAATTTAATGTTTCTCTGTTACATTTCCTTACGTAACTGATCCTTCACCCTATGGCAGCAGCAAAAGGTGACAGATGGCAAACTTCTGGCAGAGGGGCGCAGAGAGCTGAAAAACTAGGAAAGGCAAGTCTGCATTTCTCTAGAGTACACATGGCAACCTCTAGCAACTTGTACTCCCAGCTTGGACCCCCTTGGTTGCTGGCAAAACAAAGCAAAAGCAACACGAGCAGCAAAAGGTGCTTCGCGAGCAGAAGGCTGAACACCAGTTGCTTCTTGGTACAACAGCGCAGGAAAGAGGGAAGGAAGGAAGCTAGCATTCGAGGCTCGGGGAGCCAGGACAGAGAACATAGGGGAAAGGCCTTACAGAGGCAAAGAGCAGAGGCAGCGCACCCAGACTACAGGCGCACAGCCGGGGAGAGAAGCCGCACCCGCTGGCGGAGCTCGCGGCTCCCAGCCGTGCCGGGGCCGTGCGGGGGCGCGAGGGTCGCGGGGCCCCGCGGGAGCGGCCCGACCCTCCCCCTCCCCGTCGCCTGTGCCCGGGCCAGCGGTGGCCACGCCCCGTGGCGCGCGCCAATGGGCGTGGGGGCTCATTTGCATATTTGCATATTGGCGGGGACTTAAGGGGCCAGGAGAGAGAGAGAGGCGGTGGCGGCGGCAGCGGTGGCAGCAGTGAGGGTGGTTTGCCTACAGGTTTTGGAGAGGGCCGTTGCTGCGGGTTTGTCCCGGAGCGACTCAGTTCTTCGTGGGTTTTTCTTTTGTTGTTGTTCTTTTTTCTCTTTACTTACAGTCGTGTAAAGTTTTAGAACTTGTATACTCTTTTCGTTGTTTGATTGCTTGCTAACCCCTCACACTGAAACTTTTCCGCCGCGGCACAGCGCATGGAGCGAGGACGCGGGATGGGGAAAACGGCGTTGCTGGTTGTGCTCTGCCTCTGCGTGCGCGGGGCCGCCGGCTCAGATCCCGGTGAGTGCCAGTGCGGCGCGGGGCGGGGGCGGTCCCCGGCGGAGCCGGAGCGTGCGAGGGGCGGAGCAGGGCGGGGAGCAGCAGTGGGGCTCCCTCTTCGCTTTGGATGCTCTGGGGCGCGGGTGGTGAGGAAAGCTCTGCGGGGCTGCAGCTCGCAGTCCTGCTGGTTAGTGGGGTGGGGAAGGAACGAGGGGACTCGCATCCCCTTAGGGAAGTACTGGAGCGGCTTCGCGGTTCGGACATCTGGGATCTGCTTGTCTTTTTCTTTTTTTTTTTTTTTTTTTTCTTTCTTTCTTTTTTTACTCAGAGCGAGGTGGATTCTAAGAGTCCTTTGCTAGAGGCAGGCGGGCCCAGCCGTACCATCACGACTGGCATCTGGAGCCCTGTCTTGAGTCCCGGCTTACCAGGGCTCCCAGTCTGCGGTGTGTAAGACAAGGCTGAATGTCATCAATGTCATAATAATGCATTTGGTCAGCAGTTAGTCCCATTAACGTAACAAAATCCGTTAGGGAAAAAAAGAGGAGTGGATGTCTCCAATATGTATCGATGCACACCTATAATGTCTACATTTTTGTGTAGGCACTCTGCAGAACAGAGAAAGTAGCACGTGTGCCTGTTGATCACTACACTGCTGGGTGTTTCCTAATACTCTCTGGTTAAAGCATAACATGATTACAGCTTTAGCAAGCAATGAGTCTGATTTTGTTACACTACAACTCTTCAAATTTATGTTAGTGGTGCTGTGTCGTGGTGTTACTACCTTAGACACTGTGTGGCAGACAAGTGCATCCTTTAATAGTCCACATATTTAAAAGTTTCCCAAAACTGCTGGGTGAAGCTCAGGTGTAGTATGTGAGCTGTTGCTTTTTCACAGCAGATGCCTTTATCTCCACATGTATGAGGAAACTGGAGGGAACTGCTCACAAGAAAGAGGATGGGGTGCGAGGGCACAGTCAAAAGAATGTATTCTCATTTTGAATCCAGACTTGTGCCATTAAAGGCAATCAAAAGCGGTTTTCATCGCAGTACCCAAGTTTCATATGCTAAAATAGCTCTTCCCAGAGCAGGCTTTCATCCCTCTAGGAACTGATTTGTCATATACTTAATGATGGCATTATTTCTCCATAGGAACAAACTGTGAAAACAGGTTGTGTGGTTATCCTAAAATTGTGTAAGCCTTCAGCCTGACACTTTCTTTGACACCATGGTAAAAAGATGTTTAGGAACCATGGAAAATGCATGATGCAGCCCACCAGGAATCTAGAGTATTTAGTAAACAACATGGAAAAAGATACTGTAGGTGAAGATATCATTGGTGTTCCAGGAAAAGATAATACACTGCTCGGAGCACGTGCTGATCTCTATTTTTACCAGTGTAAATCAGGAGTCTGGGATTACAACATTTTTTAATGCTGTTGTGCGATGTGAGCTGTTGGTTTTTGCTGTGGCCATGTTTGGGGAAGAGCTGAGGGCAGCTGTGGTGTGTCCTCTGCAGAGTAGATGACCTTCTGAGATGGCTTAGGGCTGAGGATCTTGTGCATCACCATGTGCTGTGGGCGTACCATGGGCGTACTCCTGAGGAAGTTCACTGGAACCTCTTTGTGCAGGAAGCACTTGCATGCTGTGGCTTTCTCATGCATTCTTTCCTCTGTATTACTGTACAGTCTGGCAGTGATTGTGTTTTATTGTCTTGGGCTAATTCCAGATATCCCAGAGGAGCTGATGGATGGCAGGATCTTTGCTGCTGGATTGAGTTACAAGCCTCCCAGCTGCAGCTGAGTAAGCATACATTTGGTAGGGAGCTCCTCAGCGAGTTGCAGCACCCATGTGCACAGTGCAGCAGCCGCAGCATGCCTTCACCCTGCCAAGCTGCAGGGCTGGGCTATGTGAGGCACCTGCTCTGAGCTGTCCAGAAGTGTTCTCCTTCCTCTGGGAAGCGAGGGGAGAACTTAACCTCAGGACTCTGCTGTCTGGAAAGCTGAGACTTCTTTCACAGTAAGGTTAAACTGTAACCTTACTGAAAGGAAAGGTTTTGACAGATTACAGTGCGGTAGTTTGCTTGCAGTTTATAGTGTAGATCTGGTGAAGCAATCATGCTTCCTGTTGTATAGCCTCTTAATTACAGCTGACCATCAGTTTGCCTCAGAGCTCACTTAGGAGTTCAGTGTAACTGGTGGATGTTTTGTCCTGATGCTGGTTATCAGCAGGAGGATGAGTTACTCTGTTTAATTCCAACAGGTTATGTAAATGTTTAATGTTATGTGCAGATGTTTGCCTTTGTGTGTGTGGACTTGTGTTTGCACAGGCTAGCAGTATAACTTCTGATGATCTTTGCACCTAGCTAATAGTACTCCAATTTCTGTGTACATAATGCCAGGATATTGTTTACCAAAGATTCCCATGTAAACCGTTATTGGAATTGCACTGATTCTTGCACATGTAATACTGTGTATTTGGCATCCTGCACCTGATGCTGGCTGTTTGAGTTTTAGATTCATATTCCAGATCCTGTCATTTCTTCAAAATTCACTATCTTCACCAATCAGATCATTGATGGTTTCCTTTGTTCAAAACAATTGCCAGGCTGTTGTTGGCTTCTCATGAAGGAAATTTGAATTTGGATCTCTTATTAGTGAGTAAACTTGTGTTTTTATTGAGTCAGAATGTTTAAGACTTTGGGATGCTTTCAGAGTTGACAGGAGTCATGGGCTGAATGGAATTTGACAAATTGCAAGGCCAAGTCAGTGAAATGAGGTTTAAGCAGAAAAATGAGATTACCAACTTCTAGTTACTAGCTTTTTATTATTTTTTTATTTATTATTTATTAGTTTTTCTGCACTTATGAGTTCTAAAATATCCTTTATACCTTGATGTAAACAGCAGCTTTTTTACAAGATGAAAACAGATTTTTGTAAGGGAAAGTTAAGAAAAGTATTGGAGTAGGTTAAAATGGAGCTTGGCAGCATTGCTCTAAGTGAAGCCAGCTTCACTCTTAAACAGGTGGCTTAATTCTTAATTTTGCTCCCTTTCCAGTTCCCTAAAGAGGTAGAAAACCCTTCCTGGGCACTGCTGTGGGCTTATGGTCAGTAAGGTGACCTGAAAGCTTCATTTCGTAATGGGGGCTTGTTTTTGTTACTGTGCACCTGGAAGTTCTTGCGACACAGCACTTGCCTTTATACCCCTGCAGAACTGAGCCTGAGAAAGTGTGATTTCTAGCAAAAGCATAGATTTGTTTCATCTACTAATTTTAACCTCCAGCTCTGTTCCTCATCGATGCCTCATCTAGAAATAGAGTTGCAGTCTCATCCAAAAAATGACTTCAATATCTCAGTAAGAATAGTCATAGATTTCTTCATTTAACTTCTACCATCTACATTATGTAAAACTTTGATGCAAATTCCATTAAATTCCTGTTCACTTGTCAGAAAAATGTGGAAGGCTCTGCATTTCAGATGTTCCTTGGTTTAACTAACTCAAGTTGAAACACATCATTAACAAAACTGTGGTATGTGTGTGTTGTCTGTCTGCATTTCTTTGGCTTTGTATAAGACTGCCTTGTATAAGACCTTTGTATAAGACTGCCCTTTGTATAAGACCCACTGTCACAATGTTTGGCCAACTCAGATAGGATGTGATTAAAGAGACTTCTTTTTCTTGTTGATTTAAAGCAAGGTCAGTAACAAAAGTCCATGTATGACAGTTTGGTTCTTAGTCTTTTAATATGAGTGAGTTGTACTTTGAAGTACAAAAATTGAAATAGTAAATGCTTGCTTTCCAGAGTAATCTGCTTTGTAGCCATGATTTTACATTATTTCAGTCTTTATTGAGGGCAGAATGCACTGTAAGTATGCATCTGTTATTATGTACATGCCTCTGTACTGTATTTCTAAAATTTAATACACCGCAGGTGGGAAATGAGGCAGTGCTGCAACACAGAATGAGGAACAAAGTGATCTTGTTCTGACATCCAAACAGAATTTTCAGTGCCAAACTTGGGCAGCTCTTGAGGATGGCTTCTGATTAGTGTCATTGAGAAGTCAGTAACAAACTCAACAACATGCACTTGCCTCATCCAGATGGTATCTTGCTGCCTGGATTTGAACATGTGTGAATGCTGCACGCCATTATATTTCTTCTGAGCAGAATGGATGTTGCAGTAATTTCTGACTTTCTAAATCCTCCCACAGCATAGTGAGGTGAGGTACATGTTGTGTTGCAATTTTGTTTTCACAGAAGCTTATTTCTAGAAAAGATGCATTCTGAACCTAAGTGCAGATTCTGGCATATGTTTGTAATTGAGAACACGCTGCACAATGGGATTTGGATTTAATTTGGGTTTTTGTTGATTATCAGATATGTTTAATTCAGAAAGGAAATGATTTCCAAATATGAAGGGAAGCACTATTAACTAGAGAGCAGGTGGACTATTATTGTTTGCCTTCCTGTGTGGAACAGGAAGACACATAATTGAAAGTCCTTGCCTCGTTGCCTTAGATTTGGAAGCTGTTCCTGGTCTTTCAGGGTTTTACTGTTTTGCTGCTGAGTGAAAAATTATAGCTGATACTTAACCAATCGGTTTTCACATCTTTTTTTTATTTATGATCTCTTTGTTGTAAGAAAATGAATTTTGAGTCAGTGGAAACAACTAGAAGTGGACAACTGCTGAGAAAACCAGCACTTGAATTGGTAGATTGCTTGTTTTCTATGGGCAAAGTCTGATCTTCAACACTATATGAATCATTCTGCGTACTGGGAGTAAAATGTTTCTCCTGAGCCACATCCTTTCTTTAGGAGGAAGGGGGCCGACGGTGTAATTATGTGGGATTAGCTGGCCAGCCTAGCACAGCCAAGGTCAAAAGTAAAGCTGAGCTCTGCCTCTGTTCAGCGACCATCTCCTGCTAGCTTCTTTGTGCGCACTTTGCTTTCATCAAGTGTGCAGGAATGCAGGCAGCATTAAGCAATTGGTTTTAGGTGACTGCAGTCCCTCCAAGGCTTGAATCATTTGCTGCCAGCCAGTATGCTGTCTCATCCACCTCTTGCTGCAGGGCTTGCTTAGACCTTGACTTCTGTGGCCTTCCAAGGACAGCAGGATCCTCACAGACTTTGTACAACTACCCAAGGGCTGAGTGAGGTCAGGTAGGAATCTGCATGCCCTTGAATGAGAAGACCAGAAAACAAATTTTAGAAACAATGATCGTTTTTTCTGCACATTGAAGCACAATTTCATGGAGACAGAGAGATGCACCAGATTTAGGAAGAACTTTTTCTTCAGTGCGCAGAAGAAGAGCTTTGGCATGCCTAGCCTGGGGTCCTCACCATGCTACTGGACGTTTCCTGGTGGCTTGGAACCATTTGTGTGTGTGTAGGAGTTTGTGAGAGCTTTGTGGTCACGATGCCAGGAAACAGCACTGAGAAGGATGGAGCTGGCCAGAGTTCAGCTGCACTTGGAAAACAGGCCGTCAATATTTGCTAAAAGCAAGTTGCCAGAGTTTGGCCTGGCTTCAGGAAAGCACTGGGTTTTAAGCCCACAGTTAATGACAGGGTCAGCTGGCTATAGAGGTGTGTAAATGTTGAATCAGACCTAAAAGGAGGATTCATTTACCTTTCCTCTCAGACGGAGGAAGAAGTGAGCAGGAAGCTTAAGGTCACTTTTCTTCCTTGACAGGAACAAAACGATAACTTTTTTTAATTTTTTGGGTCTGGAAGTTGGAGGAAGTTCTGAGATGTGGTCCTTTGAGACCACCGCATGTTTTCTTACTGCCAGTACGTGATATTTTTTTTTCTCCCTCCAAATGGATTCAAAATAGTTCCAGGGAAAGAAAGACTTTTTTTTTTTCCCCCTCAAGTGTTGTTCATGAGATGACTTTTTTTTAAAATATATTAAAAAAAAAAAAACTGCCTCCAAAATGCAGGCTTGTGCATTCTTGATTTAGTTTTCTTAGCACATCTGATACCTACTATTAACCCTTTGTTGGTAAAATAGCTATGTTTTATAAGATTTGGACTTTGCAGCTCTTATTTTTAGTGAGCTGTGACTAGTATGTCCTAAAAGAAGCCATGGCAAAGAAGTGATATTTGTGATGAAGTTAGAAGATGTGCTGTCAAAATATATGATAGTATGGTGAGAAACTTGCTGCTCTCCTGCAGTACTGTGACTCCTAAAAGGAATTTATGCAGCTAATGGGCAGCTGGGCAGATTCTCACTGCATTAGCAGTGATTTTGGAGAATGAGTGATTTTTCACCCTTTGGTTTCCCTTTTACGTGGCTGCTGAGGGAAATGAAAACAGCATGTTCCATTTCTTGTCTGTTCCTAATCTCTCTCCAGCTTCATAAACTGTGACTTCTGTTTGTCCTAATACTTCTAAACCAGTGCTCTGTGTTTATTATGATCTTGTCCAGCAGAAGCTGAGATGAATTTTGAGGGGATTGAGAGCAAGTTTTCCTTAAGAACACCTGCAGAGCCTGATGAGGATGTCTGCTACCTGGTTCCTGGGCAGACGGACAGCTTGGCACAGTGCAACTTCAACCATACCAGTAAAACCTTTGTGGTGATCCATGGGTGGACGGTAAGGAGGAAAGGGTGGCACGTCCCTTTTTGTTGCACCCCTGATACTCTGTTAGATCCTTTGGTGTCTGTGTGCCACGCATACTATCAAGGTCTCCCTTTTTTGTCTTTTAAATCATCACAACATAACAGGTGACAGGAATGTATGAAAGCTGGGTCCCAAAGCTGGTGGATGCTCTGTACAAGAGGGAACCTGATTCAAATGTTATAGTTGTGGACTGGCTGGTTCGAGCTCAGCAGCACTACCCAGTGTCTGCTGCTTACACGAAGCTGGTGGGAAAGGATGTTGCTATGTTTATTGACTGGATGGAGGTAAGACATGTAGTCATGTGTGTCTCACATGTAATCTTCCAGGGGACAACAATGCAACAGTTTTATCTTCATGCCACTGATGCAGCAGACATAAAGAGTTAATTGTCATCTTTTGCATAGACTGAATTAAGCTGTGGCAGACAGTGTGTTCAGCTGGTCTGGTAAAATCCCAGCTTTAATCTAAAAACTGTCCCTTTGACAAGGAGGCCTTTTATACTACAGCCCAGAGATTTATTCACCTTGTGGTCTGTGGAGTCCTGTGGATCCACAGAAAATTTCTGAAGGCTCTGTGAGAGGTAGCTATGAAAGACAGGTTCCTACATATTATATAGCAGCCACCACTTGGCAAACTGTTAGAAGTGTGACTTGCCTTTGGGAAGTATTTATTTTGGTGACCCAAAAGCTGGGAGGAAAGGATGGCTGAAAACACTGTCTATAATACAGAGATACAGAGCCTTAGATGTTCTGTCCGTAATTCTGCATTTTTCTCTATATAAGTTTTTTTTTTTTTGCATTAAGACAGTAAACTCAAGCAAGCTTATATAGAGCAAGGTTATGTCAACTGTATTTAGTGGCTTTTTTTTTTGTTGTTATTTGTGGCCCAAAGAGAAATCGCGGTTTGTATAAAATATTTTCCTTTTTTATCCGATGCGGTCCTGTTTGATATCAAACTTTAAATGAAGTTCTCCTCTGCAGGAGAAGTTCAATTACCCTCTCAATAATGTCCACTTGCTGGGATACAGTCTGGGTGCTCATGCTGCTGGGATTGCTGGGAGTCTAACCAAGAAGAAGGTGAACAGAATTACTGGTAAGAAAGCCTGTGGTCATAGAGTGGAAAGTCCTCTCTTTGTACTGAAATATTACCAGAATAATTGTCGCTTGTTGTGTGTACTTAGGTTATGGGTTCATTCCACATTGAATCAGAATCTGATATTTTTGTAGCAGAGGTGGAAAAGGCTCATAAAAGATCAACACAGGGTAGGAGTGAGTGAGAAGCCTTGCTCTGCTTATGCGCAAGAAATGAGTAAGTAGGTGGATTTATCAGCCATGAAGAAACTAGCTTGGGGGAATGGGATTGTGAGGAAGATCTCTTTTGCAGCTGCAGAACTTCAGGTAGTTGTCTTCATGCAGATGGTCATCCCTTGCAGATGCTAGGATCCTGCTCAGGAAGAGCAGGAGGTCAATCTGCCTGCAGTGGTTGCAGTACCTGCAGAGCTCATTGTTGAGGGAAGCTATACATGCAAGAGGTCCGTGTAAGTTCAAAAGGGAACTGGATAAATGTTCTGAAGAAATCTGGTGTGGGTCACTGAAAAATAAGTGCCTTGTAAAAGGCAGCTCAAATAATCTCGAAAAATAATATTGGGAAGAGTTTTTGGAAGGGTAAGGAAGTACACTTATGCTTGATCTGCTCACATGCATTACTTAGACGTCTAGTTTGAGTCATTTTCATAATTTTGGAGGCTGAATTGTATACTAGATAAGGTAGTGTGCTGTGGCATGACTGGTTTACAGCCCGGTGCCTTGAGCTCTTCGTTGCCTCAGCACTAATCTCAGTGAGAAAGGAAGTGCCAATGTCAGCAAATGGGCCTATGAAAATCACTTGTCTGGTTTCTTTGTTTCCAAGGTAGCTTCAGGGCTACATTCAGGGCAGAGCCCAGCTCCCTTCTTCCTAGTATCAAGGGCCTTTTCAGCAAGATCCACTGTCATCTCAAATCCATGGGGATGCTGCAGGGTGGCCTAGATAGCAGTAGCTTGAGGGAGGACTGATTCCTGAGAAGCAGCGGATTACATCAGGTGGCCAGAGCATTTTTTCCTCTACCCTTCCTTCCTCTCAGCCTCCTGTTTTTGTTTTTTTTTTTTGTTTCACTGAGGTTGCCAAATCACTCAAACACCAGTGGCCCTCACAGTTGTCCTTTGGTGTCCAGGATGGACTTCTTCCTGGGAAACAGCATTGCCATTAAGCAGAGGAAATGATGGAATGTAGTCCCTGAAGCTTTCACAGCAGTGGGAGGCAGCTCACAGTATGTTCAGCTGATTTGGGTGGGCAGAGCTGGGTGCAGGAAATAGAGCTGTCCCCACAAGACATATATCAGCCATCTCTTAAGTAGTTTGTGTGGATGCAAGAGATGGCACTGTAACAAAACCCGTTTGTGCGTGCCTTATGAATGGGAGTTCTTGCTCGCTGGCAGAGTGGATCTGGTTGTTTTTTTCTTTTCTATGTCAAGCTGCAGCATTACTGACACTATTATGTGTCACTCCCCTTAGGTGTGCAGACAGTGAAGCTCTCATTTACATTTCCCAGTTTCCCTAGTAGAGAGCAGCAAGATGCTTTCCATTCTTCATATGCTTCAAATAGAAATTAACAGTTTCTTTGTTTCTTGACAAGAGGGGGAAGCACCAAGGAAAATATTTACTAGCATTTCTCTGTCCACTGGAAACACTACAGCTGTGGAGAAGTTATCTGTGCTTCTTTGTATGTGTTTACATATACCTTATGTTTGAAATAGTGACAGCGTGTAGAGGCAGTGTATTTAGTTCTCCTGCTTACATGGTGTTACTTAAATGACTGCACTGTAATGTCTTCAGTGATGCCATATGAGTAGTCCAGTGCGATGCGGTACCTAAGTTTGGCATTTTCTGCCATTGCCAGTGTTTTGACAGATAGTCATCTCAGTTATTCTTTGTGGTTTGCAATAAAGGTCTGGATCCTGCTGGTCCCACCTTTGAGTATGCTGACGCCCCTATCCGCCTCTCCCCGGACGATGCTGACTTTGTGGATGTTCTGCACACGTACACTCGAGGCTCTCCAGATCGCAGCATTGGGATTCAGAAACCTGTTGGACACATCGATATCTACCCTAATGGTGGAGGTTTCCAGCCAGGCTGCAACTTGGGAGAAGCTCTCCGCCTGATTGCTGAAAAAGGCTTTTCAGGTGAGGCTGCTCTGAAACAAACAGTACAACATCTCAAGGGAGATCTGTATCCATATCTCTGCTTTGGATGACTGAGGTTTTCTCCTTTAAGTGCTTTCGAAACTCTTAGTATAAAGCCCAGCTAGTGTTTCTTGCTTGTTTATGTCACTGCTTACGGTTTTTTGTGTGCATACATATTCTATATATTTTTTTTTTTCTTTGAAGATGTGGATCAGCTGGTGAAGTGCTCTCATGAGCGATCCATCCATCTCTTTATTGACTCGCTCCTCTATGAAGAGAAGCCCAGCATGGCCTATCGCTGCAACACAAAAGAGGCCTTTGAGAAGGGCCTCTGCCTAAGCTGCCGGAAGAACCGTTGCAACAACTTGGGTTATAAGGTCAACAGAGTGAGAACAAAGAGAAACACCAAAATGTACTTGAAGACCCGCGCTCAGATGCCCTACAAAGGTAGGTTCTGCAGCTTACTGGTAAGCATTGTGCTGCTTTTGTTCAGCTGTGAACCAGGGTGGGCACATACAGTCGTTAAGATTGATAAAGATCCCTAAGATAATGAAGTCCAGCTACTACCTTATAATCACCATGCACACTGAACCATGCTGCAACTGGGTAGTGTTGCTGCATTGATGCCTATAGTGAGCAGGAGTCAAGCTTGACTGCATTTAGCTTACCTGCAAGCTAAAGTTCAGAATTAGAAAATAATGTCATCTTATTCAAGATGTGGTGGTGGAGTTACAATACAACATGAAGGGTTTTCTGGAAGAAACTTCTAAGTGACAGAATGAAAGCAAGATTTACTCTGCACTCCAGACAGTGACTCAATTTGGAACAACTGAATCTCAATTTTTTTCATTATTTTCATCCAGTTGAATTTTTCCTGCTGCTGGGAAAATAATCAGAAGAGTTTAGCCTGATGAGTAATGATTTAAAGATGTGCAGCCACCAGACTTGTCAGATTCTCATACTGTTTTTGCCAGAGGAGCACCACTCCCATGTTAAAAACTCACAGCAGTTCTTGTCTTCCATTGCCACTGTGGTAGGCCTACAATGGACATTGTAGAAAGAACTAGATGGCTTTCAGCTAGCAAAATAACTGCAAGTTGGACTTTTTTTTTTTTTTTTTTTTTAACTTATTTTCTCTGTAGCTTTGACTGTGCCATGTGGTGTGTTTATTGCTGTGTGCATTGTGTGATGAAGCAGCAATCACAAGGACATTCTGGTTTAGAATATGTTTCTGAACGCTGTTCTGGAATAACTTCAACAACAGTGTTTTGTTGGCCTTTAAGTCTTAATCTGTGGTGTCAGAAGGCTGAATTCTCTGCACCAAAACTCCTGTATTAGGAGGACATAGCTCTTTTGCTTCATATAAAGGGTTGCAAATATTGTGCGCTGTCCTAAATGCCCACAGAGCTTGGTTTAATGATATTTATGTATACTATCATAGGATGTGTGCAGGGCTTTTTGTGTATTTGTCACTTGCCGTCTTTTCAGAGCTTGAGAAGTTGTTTTTTTTTTTTTTTTTTCATAATGACCTCTTCTTTTGTGTTTTTCCAGTCTTCCATTATCAGGTCAAGATACATTTCTTCGGAAAGACCAGTGTGACCAAGGTAGACCAGCCATTCCTGATCTCTCTGTATGGCACTCTAGATGAGAGTGAGAACATTGCTTTCACACTGTGAGTAGCTACAAAAAACATCTATGCACTACTTAGTCTAGCCTAAATCAGTTAAAAGCCCCACTGAAGTACTCAGGGTTCTAGCTCCAGCTCCAGATGCTTATCTTAGAGAGTCCCAGAATCAAGTTTGATCAAGTAGATGCATTATTTGTCCACTGGAAAAAGCTAATGGTCTAAGCTCTGTAGACACCATTCCTTATAAGAGATCTGAAACATGGATGTGAGAAAGTCAGCAATAGGTTAGACCAGTAAGAATTTTTGTAGTGTGGATTTTTTTTCCCATCTTCCTTTCTGAATGTTTGTAATGTTCCACCTGTGTTAAAGCTCCTTCCAAACTAGATTGTGACCTAGAATTAATTGTTAGATGTCCTCAAGGTGGAAGCTGAGGGAGACATGTTTCCAAAGCTCTGCTAAGAAGCATAAATCAGTGCTTTCATGCTGTGTATGTAGGCTGGAAGGGAATGGGGCTGGGAAGCACCAAAGTGTGTTTTCTCTACAAGGAAATGCTTTACCAAAACTGTTCCTGGCTGGTTCTTGTCTGACAAAACCCTGAGAAACACCAGCAATGGAGAAGATACCTCTCGCATGGTTATCTGCTCCAGGATTTATTGTAGCTTCCAGCAGAAACTTTTCCAAGAGTTTCTGCAAAATCATCAGGTATCTATCTTGTTCCATCCACTGGAATTATGGAGAGTTTTCTTTCTCCCCCTCTGAAGTACAAGAGGCCTTGGTTTTATTTTCTCTTCAGGTTTTTCTGTCCTTTAGATTAGAAAGCTACTATCCTTCTAATTTTTCTATAGCTTACTTAAGACTTTTAGCTTTTCTGGCTCTTAAGACTTCTTCGATATATCTATCTATCTATCTTATCTATCTATCTATCTATCTATCTATATATATATATATATATTTTTTTTTTTCTCTGATTCCTTACAGGCCTGAAGTCTCTTCCAACAAGACCTTCTCCTTCCTGATCTACACCGAAGTGGACATTGGTGACCTGCTTATGCTAAAGCTGCAGTGGGAGAAAGATACTTTCTTCAGCTGGTCAGACTGGTGGACTCCATTTGCATTCACCATCCAGAGAGTCAGAGTGAAGTCAGGCGAAACTCAGAAAAAGTAACTTGCTTTGATTGCCTTGAATTGTACTTGCTAGTGTTTCCTTATTCCTAGTATCACACAGGGCGGGACAAAACATGGAAAACAGTTACAAATGAATGCAGCACTGATAGTCAAGACTCCTGCAGCGGCAAACCTGCATTTATTTCAGCCAGGTTCAGCTGTTTTCTTTCACTAGGATCTGCAGTCTGTAATTTCACTCCCACAGGATTCATTTGCATCCTTCTGCTCACTTGCCTCAGATTGCTTGCAGTATGTAACAGAGGATCTCCATGAGTGAGCAGCTCTGATCACATTTGCAGTTCTTTTCCTCCTTTCATTTGCTCGATGCTTGTACAGGTTTTCTTTCAAAGACACAGCTTTCGGAAAGGTTTCTAAAAAGTGCATTTGCTTGGGAGATGGTAAGTTGGGTTTTCTTGGGAGTTGAGGTTAGCTGAGTGGCTGGGTGGAAGCATAAACACATAAATATTGCAGGATATTGCTAATACATGAATGCTAGAACAGCACTTAGTTGAATCAGTACTGCTTTCACCTGAATCTTTTGAAGTATTTAGATTCATTAGATGTGCTTTTGAAGTGTTTAGATTAATTAGATGTGAGATGTTAGCAAAAAATATATCTGGAACAGAGAATATGCATATCCTGTGTAGTGTCATGAATAGCATGTTACTCCTTTAAATAAACAAGGCTGTCCCTTTATCAAAAAGCAGTTATCAGAACTGAACAAATACAGGGGTTGGGAAAGTACTGATAAATGGAAAAGCAACTGCTTAGGTTTGCTGGAATTGGCAACTGACTCAGTGCAAATATTGAAGAGAGCAAGGCTTTCTTCCAAGATCATTAACCTGGAGGAAAAAGTCATATGACTGTAGTAAATAAAGAAGGTATAGAAGGTTGTGGTAGAGCTCTGCTCTCTTACCCTAAAGATTTTTATGCAGAAGACTAATGAAACTTAGGCTATGGTTTGAAATCTGTATCTGATGTGTTTTCCCAGTTTTTCTTGCATAGAGATTCTTTGACAATCTTTTCTAACAATTTTCTGCCAGTGATTCTCACAGGCTTGTAAAGTAGTAGTACCCACTCGGTTGTGTGAATACTGCTGTTTGACGTACTGTTTCTACAATTAAAATAGGATGATCTGAATGTCCAGTATTTCTTTAACAGGGTGGTATTCTGTTCTCGAGATGGCAGCTCACGTCTTGGTAAAGGAGAAGAGGCAGCAATATTTGTGAAGTGCCTCGAGCAGCCCGTCAGCAGGAAGAGGGGAGGGTAAGAGTGAGCTTTATTGTCTTAAGGCCATGGGGGGATTTCATACAACTTTCAAGATTTGGCCGATCTCTGCACTCATCTAAAAAATTCAGAAGCATCCCAGCTCAATCTAACCCAAGGCAGCTTTAGGCAGCTTAAAACCCCCAGCTGTCATTCTCTACTGACCTTCTCCTTGTGTGGCTGTTAGCACATCTGCAAAGCAAGTGCAAGTCACTATCTCTCATGCTCTTACAGCAGCCAAAGGGGATTTACAGACCAAATACTAAGACAGAGGAAAGCTTTCCTCTATGTCTGAAGATGTCTGAGATTCACCACTAATGCAGGGATGTCCAGGCATCTGCACTCAGTCAGTGTTGAGCCCTTTCATCTCAGCCAATTGCAGATCTGGAGGCTGGTACAAAGCAAAGCAGACACATGCAAGTGCATTATTCTTTTTTGATTAGTAACTTCTCTGACCTAGATTAAACTTTCCGCTTTGAAGCCAATTTTCTTTGGACTTTGTCCACTAAAGTTTGAACTGAAGAAGTGGTTATATTTATTTTAGTGCAGTTGCTTTGAGTGAAAGGTCTCATGGGGACTTTTGTAGACTGAGATCTGAAGCACGTGTGTGGATCTCACTCCAGGTCAATGACCTGGTGAGCCCTTGAGAGAGGTGTGTCTTTGTCACACACTTGTAAAATCCAGCAGTGGCCAAGAAAAGCCCAAACGCACAACTCTCCTTCTAAGTAATAGTTGTAAAACCTAAGCTTCAATAAGACAAATGAAATAAGCACCTCATGTCCTCCTCTTTAACAAATCTGTATTTTATTTTTTTCTTTCCACAGTGCCAAGAAAGCCTCTAAAGAAAATTCTGCACATGAGTCTGCTTAAAAAGTGGCAAGAATGAGAATTTCCACACTGGGGAGGAGGAGGGAGCCTGTTCATCACTGTGAAGTGGATGTTCAGATCTGAATATATAGAAATATTTATCTGCTGCTGGCTTTTTTGACTGCTATATCTAGCTATATTAGGAGGCTTCTTGTAAGGAAGTCTCAGCGTACAAAGTTACTAACCATAAAGTTACGTTATCTGAATAGTTAAAAACAAAGAAACCCCTGCAACAACTTGCCAAAGGCTTGAGTGTTAGGAAGGAATAAGTAATTTTGCTTAATTGTGGTGCCTTGTGACAGTTTCTTGATGTCAGCTCCTTTTTATCAGTTTTGTAATATTTATTGAAAAGACACAAAGCTTCTGTACCTGGTCTCTTTTTAGTGTTCTTTGTTTCCAATATTTTTACAGAAATCTCCTGGAACTGCAGATCTTTTTTCTTTTTTTTTTTTTTTTTTTTTTTTTTGTTGTTGTTGTTGTTGTTGTTACTGTTGTTGTTCTCCTGGCCTTGCTAACTGAATTTTCAGACAGTTCAGCAGCTAGAATTCATTGTCTTCAAGTGTGTGTTTGGCAAGTGAGTAGTTTTCTCATGGAAAAAATGCCCTTGTGTGTAAAGCTATAAAGAGATGTCAGGGACTGGTTCAATATGGGGATGAATCTTTTGGGTTGTGGTTATGAATGTGGTTTAATGGGTGTAGATGCCAATGCTTTTTAGCAATAATTATAGTCTGTTAAGATATGTAATCCCATGCAGTTTATCCTGGAATAAATAGCAATAGGAGAAGACAGCAACACCAGTGTCCTCTGCAGACATTCAACTTTTCATTCATGCTTTCATCCCTCAAGAAAGGAGTCATCTAACTTCCATCACTAAAAAAACAGCAATGGAATTAAGCTACAAAGAAATGCAGAGAATGGATATATATATATATATATATATAATGGATATATATATATATATATATATATCCATTATATATATAAATGCATATATATATATGCATTTACTTCCATCTGAGATACCAAAACTAAGAGCATCAGTGCTGTTTAAAGCTGAATGTCAGTCACTCAGCAGACTGGCAGCAGTATCCAGTCTCTGGTGCAACTGAAACCAGTTGACAGGTGACAAATATACTCCTGCTTCCCTGTGCTGGAATTGTGACTTCCAGTGACCAGCCTCTGTGCTCGGCTGTGATAGAATGGTACATACTAGGAGTTGCTTGGTTTTCTGATCCGAGGTGGAATTCAGCAGGGAGCAGGAGCTGTGACACTTAAAGGAGCCTGATTTTGTGATGCACAAAAATGAATGCTCTGAAAAACACTTAAATTAGATATGCTGTGAGTCGCCAAAAATAGATGTATTGAAGGCTTTTTGCTTTTCCTTTCTTTAAGTAATGCAAAGCTTTTCTTAGCTTGGAAAAAAAAAAAAAAAAAAAAAAAAAAAAACAACCAAAAACAATAGCCTTTAGCTTTCTAGGCAATAAACAAAAAACTGGGGAGGTAGAAGTGTTTGAAGGTAGGCATTTGGAGAAGTGTGAGAATGTGAGCTATTGGTGCTGGTTTTCAGTCTTTGTCCACATGTGCAAGACAAAATGTGGAGGCTCCAAGATCCTATATTTGATATAAAACCAACAGAAATACATGTATGTGCACAGTTGTTTTCTTCCTAGCCATGGCTGCTAGTATATATGGGGATAAAAGTTTTAAACAGTGCAATACGTTGGAATATTAATAACTCCAAAACTGCTTACATTTGATTTCCTCACTATGGCAGAGATAGGATGAGTCACTGAGGGTGGGGCTGAGAATTGAGCCACTGCTTTTGGGGCCTCTAAAAATAAATACAATGATACATTCTCTCTAGACTTGACATTCTGTTGCAGTTTTCTCTTTAAGAGTGAAAGCTCTCTGGAAATGAAAGTTGTGTAAACAGGTATGCCTTTAATACAGGATCTAATACAAACACATACGGAACTTGGATTCAAAATAATGAAGGTTCTTTTACATGGGGACACATGATTTAGCCTTGAATGTTATTTATTAGCTGTAAATACCATATTTATGTGTTTAAAGATAGTTTGTATATATTGCTGAAGTTGCTGAGAGTCTTTACATTTATACAGTTGTGTGGTATTCATCCTGTATATAGCTTACAGAGAGATTTTTATTAACAAACCATTTACACTGCATTATTTCTGGTGTGGTTAATAAGCTTTTAAGAAAAGAAAGCTCCTCAGTTTTGTACAAAACGGAGACCTGTGGTTTTAATAAAATTCTCAAACTGGTGCCAAACTACTCACTAGTTTCATTTTGATGAAATAGTCTACTGTATGTCCATATGTGAAGTCCATAGCCTTTTACTTGGATTCTGAGATAAGAAGATGGGGATAATTGTTTTTTTAATACAAGTTCAGATTTTTTTTTTTTTTTTTGCTTTTTTTTTTTTTTTTTTTTTTGCATTTTTATGCTCTCATTTCCCAAGAGGTAGCGTCACAAGTCAAGATACTGAAGAATCTCTGCATGCCTGTGGGTGTTGCTCACAAGTAAAGCAGTGAGGCAGCTGGAGTTTGAGGTTTCCAAGTTTCATGCCATTCTAAAACAGCCTTTACTTTAAAAAAATATGAATTATTTTTGTGTGGAAACAAATAGCTGAACTATGCTTCTGCACTTTCCTGTACCTGAATGGGAATGTGCTGTACTTTTCATGCTTCTGACCCTGTGTGTATAGGGATCAGCAATACATCCTGACACCAACACTTTCCAAAGAGAATAACAGTGAAAAATCATTTTGACATGCACTCGTGTGCCCAGCTAAGATCAGGACTGGTTGTGACCAGAGCAATTTTACTTGCGTGGGCTCCAGCAACCACAATTACCCTGTGATGCAAAGTGGGGTTGTAGCAAGGCTCTTTGAAGGGGAGCAGTAGAACTGGTGGGGGGGGAGGGGGTCATAGCAGCCTGCATATTTGGGACATTATTAAGAGTAATTAGAGAGTCCCTAACTTGGTTTCAAACAGCTCTTCACCAGGACTAGAATTTGCTCCTACTTCAAGCAGAGGGTAAGTATGTCATGGAAAAGGGGTGGGAACAAAGACGAAGGTTGAATGGGAAAAAGGAAGTGGGAATACAGAAATACCCTGGGAAAATGAATGAGAGAGGGAACAGAGGCAAGGGAGGAACCCAAATGCAGCAGGGGAATGAATGGGAGTGTTTTAAGGGCACTAGCTCCCATGTGTCAGATGGTAGGTTAGGTGACTGAAAAGACTCTTTGTAAGTCAGGCCTGTATATAATATCTACCTATCTATATATACACACTTACTGCTTTATCTGCAGTAATAACATTATGGTAGTATTCTTTTAAAGCCCACAGTAACAGCAATAAGCACATTAATAGGTAAAGCAGAAAATTCGTTTTCTGTGGAGGAAAAAAAGGTACAGGAACCCCCTGGATGCTTGCAGCTGTACTTGGGAGTATAACTCTAGTGTTCTGCTCTGAGATGCCCAGCTGCATCAGGGAAGGTGACGGTCCCTGGGGTTACTGCTGTTCATGGCAGTGAGTACAGCTTTTGGAGGGAGTTATGCAGGACAGACGAGCACCATCTCTCTCACCAGTTAGTGCCATGAACAAGCAGAAAAAGCTATACTAGTCTGGAAAGAAACTGTAACAAAGAAAATTCCAGTTACCACATCTACAAGGCAAAGAGATCCTGAACAAAGCCTGGAATTTACTCCTACATACTTAATTTTGAGGAATTTTTGGAATCCAACAATGAAAGTGCTGTCTCTTGGTGTCTCCATGCTTAGTTAGCAGTGTGGCAAATAGTTGCTTTTTCTCCTGTGCCAGAGCACCACACTCTTCAGCGGTGTCTGAAATGTGCACATGCTTTCATGTCAACGAGTACTCAGTTTAAAAAGTAGATTGCAGGGTGTACGGCTTCCTGAATTGCAGCTTACCATCTCAAGTCATAGAATCACAACAGAATGGCTTGGATTGACTGGGCCCTTAAAAGTTCTCCCAATCCTAATCCCCTTCTGTAGGCAGGGCTGCCCCTCACCAGCTGAGGCTGCCCAGGGACCCCAACCAACCCGGCCTTGAGCACCTCCAGGGATGGGGCACCACAGCTTCTCTGGGCAGCTCTGCCAGGGTCTCACCACCCTCTGTGTAATGAATTTCCTAACATCCAACCTAAATCTCCACTCTTTTAGTTTAAAGCCATTCCTCTTTTCCTTTATCAGACTGCGTAAGGAGTTGGTCTCCCTCCTGCTTATATGCTCTGTTTCGGTACTGGAAGGCTGTAGTGAGGTCTTCCTGAAGCTTTCTCTTTACCAAGCTGAACAAGTCCAGCTCCCTCAGCCTTTCTTCATAGGAGAGGTGCTCCAGCCTTCTGAGCATCTTCATGGCCTCCTTTGGACCCGCTCCAACTACTCCGATTCCTCCTTGTGCTGATGGTACAGATCTGGATGCAGCACTACGGGCATGAGGAGCAGAGAGGGACAATCCCTTCCTTCTCCCTGCTTCTACCTCTCTGTTTGATGCAGTGCATCGGATGCTGTTGGCTTTTTGGGCTGCAAGCACACACCACTGGCTCATGCACAGCTTTTCATGCACCACAACTCCTAAATCCAAGAAGAGTTCCTGTAAGAGTTCCTCTGGTTCCACTATAGTGCTCTTGAGAGAGCACTCAACTAATCTACCAGTGAGAAAACTACTCCTTTTCCACATTTATGAAATGCATGGTTGATCCTGGACTTCTGTGAGCTTTGACGTGGAGACATGCATAAATGATCAACACATTTTTTATCCATTACAAACTGTAATACAAGCTTTGGAATACACTTTTCTCCTTCCAGGCAGTTGTGTGGCTGTTTTTTTTTAATGTGTTGTGAACGAAACATCAGAAGCTTGCTGCTTTGGATGAGCAAAACATTGCAAATGTGTTGTTTCTAGAGTTGAAGTAGAACTGAAATAGGCATTGAAATCAATTTTTCAATAAAATACAAGAATTAAAGAAGCTGTATTGTTTTCCTTTTTGCTAGCAATAAGGCAGCTATTAGTGCAGTGCTATCCATATTCTGAACACAGCAAAATCAAAATCTACATGTCCAAGGGGACCAATCGAACTGCCATCAAGTCATCATGCAGGAAGTCAATTACCAGTTTCTCTTGCTGTCCCTTTCCAGAAAAGTCTAATGGCCAGATGTCATTTATAGCAGGTCTGGAAAGTCACCAGTTTGTGCATAAACAAATAAAGGGATTAGCATTCTCTGGTGAAGGAGAACAAGGAAATGAGAAAAGGAAGGGAAGGGAACCATTTGGCAGAACATCCCATGTAGAGCTTGACTCAACAATGCCTCTACATCCGTATGTGGTGCTATCTCTGCTCAGCAATGCTCAGGGTGCTTTCCTAAATCGTTTCAAGCTAGCTCAGCCAGAACAATGCATCAACATAAGAAAAGCAGATGCTAAACAGGGCCCACTCTGGGTGTAGCAGGTGTTAGCATGTGGGTGCTGTTATGTCCAGTGACGTAATCTCCCAGCCATTCATGTCTGATAAACACAGTGTTCTTCACTGCAGGGCCTTCCCGTGGGAAGTAACCCGATATCGTTTGACGTGGTTCTTGCCAATGACTGTGGAGAGTTTCTGTTGTTGTTCATCACCCCACCGTGTCAAAGCACCTGGTGAACAGTGAGATAGGCTGGCTGGCCATGTGTCTGTCCTCAAAAGCGCCAGGAAGTCAGGACAAGTCTTCTGCTGCCCCACCTACCAGAGGCTTTTTTTAACTCACAATT